TGACCCACCGGGGCGGTACGCTGCAGAAGGCACCCTCCCTCTCCCTCGCCGCACCGCGCACGAAGCTTCCCCGAACCTTCTTTTGCAGGCGAGCCAGAGGACCACTCCCTCTCCATCGCGCTGCTGCGGCTGTTGCAGCTGCTGCTCTCCTCGTGGCCCGCCTCGCTGCCGCCCGCGCGGTGCTCGCTCCTGCCGCCGCTCGGCGCGCTCCTGTCTGGCGCGCTGCAGACCTTCCAGCAGCGGCTGCTGTGCGACGCCGCCAGCCTGGGCGAGGAGGGGGCCGACTCCGACGGTCGCTCCTCGCACGCGCCTCCCAGACACCTCGCAGACTCCTCCCTGCCTGCCCGAAGCGGCAAGCGCCCTCCGTGTGCCCCACCCCCACCCCCACCCCCGCCCTGCCGCAGGCTCCTCGCTCGGGCTCGAGGCGCTCGTCTCGCACGTCTTCGACGTCCTCGCCGCGATGGCCTCCTCCTCGCGCCACCACAAGCTGCTGCTGCCGGCGCTGCCGCAGCTGCTCCACGGCGCGATCGCCTTCACGCAGCTGCCCGTCGCCACCGAGCAGGCCTTGGCTGACGGCCAGCAGCAGTGCCTGCTTCCTTCTCACTCCCTCCTCGATGGCGAGCCTCGATGGCGAGCAGGCGTGGGCCGACGACCTGCAGCAGTACCTCCTCGACGAGGAGGACGACACCTTCGCCTGCTCACTCCGCGTCGCCGCGCAGCAGCTGCTCGAGGAGCTCGTCGACAGCTGCGGCCGGCGTGTCGTCACGCCGCTCTGCGCCGCCGTCGAGAGGAGGCTGGCCGAGGCGCGGGGTCACACCCATCCAAGACGTGCACTCTCGGCCCTTGCTGCACACTGCGCGCCAGAGGGGTGCTCCGGCCTCGTCCTCCGGCCTCGTCCCGCACGCCGCCCGGACGCTGCTCTGTCCGATTCGCCGCATCCACAGGACGGCAGCTCCCCTCCCCTGCTGCGCTTGCCCGACGCCCGCCCCGCTCCCCGCAGGCGGACGCAGCGCGCGCACTCGCAGCAGGCGGCGGCGCGGACGCGCCCGCCGCCGCGGCAAGCTGGTGGCGGACGCGCGAGGCGTCCCTCATCGCGTTGGGCCTTGCTGCGCCGTCGCTGCTGCGCGCGGGTCGCGCTCACGCTAAGCGTGGCGATGCCGCGCCGCCCCCGCCGGTGACGGCCGAGAGGTTGGACCGAGCGGTGCCCGTCTCCGACACTTCCTAGACACTTCCGAGGGTCGCCCCCTTTCCCCGTCAGGCTGCTCTCCGAGCTCTTCCTCCCTGACGTGGCCCCCGCCGCGCCGCCGCTCCTCCGCGCCCGAGCGCTCTGCACCGCGGCACTCTTCTCCCCCGGCGCGTCGGCGGCGGCGACCCACCCGCTGCTGGTTGCCGCCGCCGCCGCACTCCAGCCGACCGAGCCGCCGCTCCTGCGT